CTTTGACCACTGGTCACGCCCACTTTGACCACTGGCCACGCCCACGTTGCCCACACCCATTTTGCCCACTGGCCACGCCCACTTTGACCACTGGCCACGCCCACTTTGACCAACAGCTCCTGTTGGGAACACATCTTTAGAATGGTACACGTTAGTTCAACAAGTTCCACTATGAAGACGATTCATGTTCGAGCGATTCTTTAGAATTACTCTCTGGTACAAATACAATTCACGTGAGCCCTCAAGTCTACAAACCTTAATTATGCACAAAAAAATAAAAAGCTAAAATGTCAACGGGCTAAACGAAATTAAAAGGAGGAGGCAACGAAACTGTGTAGACAGCATTCATTTCTCAAGCTGACAACACTCATCGCCTGGGGCTCTGATGCAGAGGGTCCCTTTGAAAAAAATAATAGTGAGCCGAGGGAGTGGTGACCAAAATGGCTCCAGCCGGACACGAGCACAAGCAATCGGTGCACACAGCGCGAGCACGCACGCAAACCGCTCGCCGCCCTAGTTACAGCTCTTGGCACATCACCGGTACCATCTGCCCAGCATCGTGTGCGAAAGCCGATCAGGGCCCGGGAGTGTGCGGCACAGACAGCTCCTGGATGGTGGCCAAGCGCTCGCAGCTACGCTTTTGAAGTGCTCATCCCCTCCCCGGCCGTTAGCTGCAGCTATAACGACCAACAGAAGCCAGCAGAGACTTGCACACGTGTCAAGCGCACAGACTCACACACGCGACTCCCACAGTGGCCTTGATGGGTCGTGCGCCGCTTGCTATTCAATGGTGACGTGTAAAGAGGTGAACGGGTGACTCAGGGGGCACATAATGACCATGTCGAAGCAATGAGCGGACAAGACAATCTGGGTTCAAATCTGAGCAGCCGCCCACGAAAAAGCCAAATTCGCCAGTGTAATGAGTCGTTGGTGTCAGTCCAGTCAGCCGAGGCTGCTGGAAGAAAATCCATCAAAATATAAAAATATATATTTTATGTGCAGAGGGGGACATTTTGTCTGCTTATTTATTTCTTAGCCATGATATTCCATGATGAATAATTATTTTATACAGTTGTTATTTTAGTGCCAAAATGATGCCTCATAATCGAGGAGCAATGCCCTTTCCTAAAACGTTTGGCAAACCAACAGCAAGTGGGTAACAGGCCTAAATGATGAAGAGACTCAGAGTTGAAAACCTGTCCATAGTTTACTTGGTTAATATGCTGCTGAAAAATGCATGTCTGGATGGCCCATAGGTCGATGGAAAAATAAAGATTTTTTGTAATCTGGACAAACCTTTTACCTGTTTATTTTTTTACCATAATCCTCCATGACAACTCAATTGTTTATGTATATCATATACAACTAAGTTTTTGTTGAGGCAATACAAGGTAAAGGTGCAGACCTGAAATGTCTTGCTCATGCCACTGCTGGCAAAATATCCTCAACAAGAAGGAGCTCTAGACAGTCCCTCTTCATGCTGGTCAAATGTCTTCGGAGATGGAGGCACCCACATTTAACGCAAGTATACCCTCATATTATTGTATAATTATATTGAATAGTTTGCTTAATACTATATAATTCAGTATTTTGAATACAATATACATTCCATGTATAAATTACATTTGACAAACTAATATATTGACTATGAAGTACATCATCTGTTGTTGACACTGCTGTGAAAATTTCAAAGGACATTTCTTTGCCAAAAAACTCTGGTATATAATTTGTGGGGAAAAAGGCATACATTTAAACGTGCAAATGCATTAGTAGTCCCCATCTGGATATCTAACCTATAGAAGGCATTTTTGTCTGTCTGTCTGTGAGTGAACGAAACTTGCGAAGGATTTGGCTCGCGAACCGTGGGGTTCATGTTAAAAAAAAAGTACCCAGGTACCACGCGATAGGCCCCGTGGTAAGCCAGCGCTATTCCATTTTCGTATCTGTCACCTTAAAAGTAGTTAAATTAACCATTTTTTACGCCTCAGTATTATTTATTTATTACATTACGCTGCTGAGCGCGCCAAAGCACGCATCTGCGCATGCACGACACAGCTGACAGGGGGTTGCCCCGAGCAACACACACGCCTTCGCTGGGGGAGTGGGAAATTGCCATTCGCTTTAAAAATGCTACAAAAAATACACGCAACGCTGAGGTTAATTCATCAGTGTCATGTCCTCTTCTCCCCACCGCCCCACCAATGTGTGCAATTACTACTATGGAGTCAGTATATGCTACTACTATAGTCCGTAGATAACTACTGTAGAGCGGGCGGGGGGATGATGGGGGGGGGGGAGGGTAGCGGCCCAGCCCCAGACTGCCAAGGTGCCACCTCGGCCGGCCGGCCAATCTAGGCGAGGCTGGGGACTCTGCACAGGCCTAGGCCTCACCACTACACTCTGTGAAGTGAGTACTATTATAGAGTCACTATATACTATTCTAGAGTCAGTATATACGACTATAGAGTGGGTAGATACTACTGTAGAGTACGTAGATACTACTGTAGAGTTTATAGGTACTGGTACTGGAGAGTGGGCGGTGGGAGGGGGGCGGTTTCGCAGCCCAGCCCCAGCCTGCCAAGGTGCCACCTCGGCCAGCTGGGAAATCTAGATGAGGTCAAGGGCTCTGCACAAGACTAGGCCTCACCACGTCTGTGTGTGCCTGTGTGTGCTGCCTGTGTGTGTGTGTGTCCTGTGTGTGTGGTGTCTGTGTGTGTGTGTTTTTGGTGTCTGTGTGTGTTTTTGGTGTCTGTGTGTGTTGAGTTCCAGCCTTCATAGCTACTGATGTGCTGTCTGTCTGTGTGTTGGTGGCTGTGTGGTGTCTGTGTGTTTGTGGTGTCTGTGTGTACAGTCAGTATATACTACTACAGTCAGTAGATACTATAAAAGAGCCAATAGATACTACCGTGGAGTTAGTAGATACTATATTCTTAGGTGTTTTCGGTAAAGTAATGTAGGTAAAACATCAAAATCAATAAAAATAATAAAATAAAATAAAGATCACGACGTTTCGGAGGCAACACAAGTCTCCGTCATCAGGTGGGACAGTCACAGCCAGATTAGCTGCATCAAGTGTAGATACTACTATGGTCAGTAAATACTTCTACAGTCAGTAGATTCCACTACAGTCAGTATATATTGCTGCAGTCAGTCGTAATGACTATAGAGTCAGTAGATACTGCTATAGAGTCAGCAGATCCTGCTATAGTCAGTAGATACTACTGTAGAGGCACATACTACTGTAGAGTAAGATACTACTATAGAGTCGCTAGATACGACTCTATTGTATGTAGGGTGTGTAGGTATATATGCCTAGGTGGGGTATAAATACTTTTAGAGGGGGGGGGGGGCGACAATTTTTGGAAACCTTTTAGATCAACTATTTACCCCCCACTTTCTATAACGTTTTAGACTTCTGCAAGCCTCTTATCATTTTGTTGACGGACAAATTGACAAACGGCACGCCGGGCTTTCACAATAGCTTAGTATTTGTGTTGTATATGTTATGTTTTTAAGAGAAGTTTTGAAGAAAAAAAATTCCCACGGGCAACGCCGGGTATTTCCCGCTAGTATGTTATAAATATTGATACACGCTATAGTGACAGTTGTGTCGTCATGCGCTGGATATGCAAATGATGAGTTGATTAGTGTGTAAATCACCAATTTTAAAGGTTAAGCCTTACAACCTACGGAGAACCCCATCAATAAAATTCAGTCTGATTCACTGCAAAGAGCTTTGCAGAAGGACCTTAGATTTTTATGTATTCAAAAACATGTATGTTAAACTTCTTTCGCACCATACGTAGTCAACCATGCTAATCGGACGTACTTTTTTGAATACCAATCAATCTTTATTTTATGAGCTAATATCACCCTCCATATAGTAAGCATCAGTGCAAATTACAAAATTATACCGTGTTATTTTAACCCTTGTGGCCTAGAAGACAAAATGGTAATTTCACTGAATTGGATTTTCACCATCTGTAATTTTTATTAAATTTGATCTGTGTCAAAGAGACATGGTCATTGAGTCAAACAACTTCCAAGTTATGGGTGATTGAAGATTTGACCTTTTTCAGGTGCCCAAGGGGTCAAGTTCAACATTACACGTTATTTTTGGAAAACTAAGACACCATTGGAAAGCGACATTTCGGTCCTTTACAAAGATGTAAATAAACGATGTTTTTTAAATCAAATTCGATGACCTTGGCCTTGACAAAATGACCTAACTTGAAATTTAAAAAAGGTGGGAACAAATATCCCAGACCCTGGGCAACATGGGTAGAAAAAAAGATATCAAGCTGGGCACTTTAAAAATAGATATTAGCCACAATGTACATCGACATAATGTAAACAATGTCTTAGTCTTCTCTGTAGTTCCAAAAATTCGAGCGTTATGGCTTGTAATGTTGAACTTGACCCCTCCAGCACACAAAAAATGATCCAAAACTCGGAATCTATTTGACCAACTCGTCTCCACTTTGGAATGTTATCATGTATATATGGTACCTACAATTGTGCTACATTTCATCAAGATTGGAGGTGGTCAGATTTCAATCCCAATTTGTTTGAAGTTACGAGCCATAACAAAAACATACATTAAACACTTTAAATGTGTAAAAGTGTTGAGATTTTTTTTTTTGCTATCGCAAACACAATTTAGCATTTATGCCAAACCAGTTTTCTCCTGTAATCGTATAACTTGTATTCATTATAGCTCCAGTGCTCATACATAATTCAGTTGTTTTTTGGGCAGGACTGATATCACAATGCTGCACGTTTAACTACTATGGGTGCCACATTGTGGTTATGTACAATGCTGCAAAACTAATTATGCAGGGTTAAACCATTTTAAAGCTTTAAAAGCTGCCCACAGCTCACCCATTAAATAATTGAGGTGCCTGTTAATCAACCACCCCTGTGTAAAAAAACATAAAAACCCAACAGGTTGTTAGCACAAAATTACATGAAATAATGAAGCAATGTCGCCATCACCTTACCTGCTGCACTGAGACATGAGTGAGCGCTTGAGGCAGCAGCTGAGAGTGAGTCACTGTCACCGTTTGGGGCTGCACGTGTGGCTGTTGCAAAAACGAGGGTGGTGTCGCCTGTCTGAGATGCTGTTGCTGCTGTTGGGCCTCCTGCATTTTCTGTGGGCTTTGCTGGGGATTATAGTGTGACGGGGAGGCAGATACATTCATATATGGTGGCGTTGTTTGTGGCAGCCTTGGTGCAACTGTATTTCCAGGGAGAGCTGCCATCATGGCGCCCTGACTAATTGGCTGCTGTTGCTGCTGCTGGTGTTGGTGGTGGGCCTGCTGCGTCTGCTGCTGCTGCTGCTGCTGCAGTGGCATCCTGGGGTAGCCGACGGCACCGGAGCCAAGCGGCACCGAGGGGCAAGCGCTGCTGCCCATGCTAACGCCTGCGCTTGGTTGCCTGTGCGTCGGCGCCACGCTAACATTCATTTTTGCCGGAGAGGCATTGGCGGCGGGTTGGTGATTGAAATTTCCCTGAGAATACGATGGGTGCATAGCCCTGGAGTCCATTTGGTTGACCAAACCCTGCTGGCTGCCGGCCATCATCGGGAGCTGCTGGGCAACTCGTTGGGCACCCCCCGGCATAAAGGCTTGATTACCCCTCGGGTACATCGAAGGCGGCGGTGTCGTCTGGACTTGCTGATTTCCATTATTGAGGTGATTAGGGGATAGACCCTGGCTCAACCGAGCACCGCCAATTATTCCCTGATCGGCGACGCCGCCATACGTGCACTGCACAAACGGCCCCGAGCTGCTCACAGAGCAAGACGGTGGAGGCGCCACTTGGCCCTGGTTTGCCGAGAAGTTTAAGTGATTATTCTGTGGGCTTGCGGAAAAGTTGCCCATGCTGTTGTTCCCTGGTTGGGCGAATCGCCGACAGGCACTCATCGATCCACTGTGATGGTGAAAGGCTTGATTGTGTGAAGGTAGCTGAGGCATCATCTGAGAGTAACAATTATTGCTGCCACCACTGCCTCCACTGCTGCCACCGCTGCTGTTTCCAGCTGTTCCGGGTGACCTCATAAATTGTCCACCTTGGTTCAAAGCGTCTGGTCCCCCGGGAAAATGATTCAGCGATTGCTGCTGCTGTGGTGGTGGTTGTGGCGGCGGCTGCTGCTGTTGTTGTTGCTGCTGCTGTTGCTGCTGCAAAATGTAATAATTATCCATTTGCTGGTGCACTGGCTGCTGGTGGTGTGGTGGGCCCGTGGGCTGAGACTGATGGTGCGCTTGTTGGGGCTGATGGTAAAGTGGCATGGTCGGCGGCTCCTGGCGTCCCCAGAGCGGGTCTTCATTCACAAACGTCTCCTCGGAGCAATCCTCCTGCCCTGTGGCAAACAAGCCAAAGGGACTACCCACTTGGTCCGGCATGGGCTGGTGAAGTCGTGGCCCCTTAAACTGCTGGTGTGCGGCTGGAACACTGCTCATGGCACAATGGACAGGGCTGCCTAGTATTCCCGCAGGGCTTCCCATCACCGCCTGGGGGCTACCCATCATCCCCAGTGCGTCCGCCTGCGGCGGCGGTGGCGGCGGCTGCTGCTGCTGCTGCTGCTGCGGCTCATATTGGCTAAAGAGGTGGTGGAATGGTGCACCGGGCTGGTGGACGCCGGGGTACTGCGTCTGGGGGTCTTGCAGCGGGCTGAAAGCCTGCTCGTCCAAGTCAGGGGTTGGATCGTCGAAACCGCCTGCCACCAGGTTCTCCAGCCCATCACCAAATATATCCCCATCGTCAAACAGATCCATGATTTCAACACCTGTGGCGGTCGTCGCCACTGTTGAAACAGCGAGTGCCACTCTACAAAAACATGAAAACACCTACGACCTCGACCCTCCTCACCAACATCAGGGGAGGATGGATTAAGACTTCCTCAGAAACGTCACATTGCTATTATCTCTTGCATCTCACACAGGGTCCACACTTCCCTCGAGTTTGCTGTATGTGCAGGGGGGCAGAGCGATGTCAGAGGCAAATATGTTGGGGAAAGCTCCTGGGGAGGGAAGGGAGGGGGGGAGAAAGAAAAATTGGGACAAATGATGAAATGAGCAATAAATGTGACAAGCTTGCAAGCCGTGAAATCATGCAACATGCTCCTTTCATAGTACATCTATTTTTGGAATTAAAATGCAGAATTCAACCGTAAGGAAAATATTACTTTAAAAAGGATATCTAACATTGCATTTAATTATGTATATATATCAGCATGCATGCAAAAGTCAAAAGTTAACATGCTCACTAACGTATTTCAAGCATACAGTTTATTTTCCTTATCAATTGAAACTATCTCGAGCAAGGCCATCCAAACTGCCTTAAAAAAACACCCTAGTTTAAAGTTTCAAATGTGTAAAAAAATGTACACTACACATTACTATACAAATACAGAAAGAGTTGTTTTTTAAAGAAAAAAATCCTAATTTAAGTTAACCACCTGTGATTCTGATGAGTCCATTATGTATCTTAAATGCTTTAAATGCATCTTGCATAAGCCACGCCTAGATTTCAACCATTGCAGTTGTTATGGCCAAACTTTTACAGTGATTAATATTAAATCCATCCAAAAAAATGCACCTAGAAGTTGATAATTCTGAAAAAAATAAACTGGAGCCCAGTAAACATTTTGTGCACATATGCATGTAGACAAAAGTGTACCACGTTCTCGTCTTTAGTAATACTGAACTTTCATTTTAAGCAACACGATTTATGGACGGCAATGCTGATTATACGACAACATATCACTGAGGCCAACTAAGCAATTTGTCATCCGAGATGCATGTCTTTCACTATGCGGAAATGTTAGTTTTTAGCATTGCTGAAACCATTCCAAGAGAAGAATAAAACAACAGATGGAGCGAGATGAGAATATGTGCAGTCAGATTATAAAGCTTGGCGTTGCGGTGTAGCGCATGCGTTTGCGCGAGTGCGCACGTATCTTTTGCCTGTATGGATGTGCAAACTGTACACAAGTGCATCATTTTTGGAATCACGCATGCATCCTGCCGAGTATTGAGCCACACAAGGAAAGCCACGTGGGATTTTGAGTGTTTGAAATACTCAGAAGTCCTCTCAGTCTGCAGTTACCTGCATGCAGGCTCTGATCAGTAAATTTTAAACACCATACAAAAATGTCATTGAATATAAAAGGCATACTAAAAAATTTAGAATTTTTGCCAGTCCATGTTTTTATTAGCTACTGCTTACTTTTTGGCCAGATTATAATAATATATTGATTATTTAAAATATAATCTGTAAAGTGTAATAACTTTAGTCAACCTCAGGAGGCCGTAGATATAGGAAAGGTCCTTTTTATACCTCTTGTGGCTTCTTCCAAAACATTTCAAACACTGTATGAGTAGCACACCTTTTGAGGAATCTCAAAATTATTATGTGCTACTTCATAAGAGCAAGATTTAAGAAGGGCAAATGACTGTGCAAGGGAGAAAGGAAAAGTGGTTATGGATGAAGATGTGTAAATGTGTGTGTGTGCCAATAAATAGCCCACGGCATGTTAAATCAATGCAAAGCTTGTCAGACTCAGCTGAAGGAGATGGCAACACATGAGGCAAATCTCCCTTGTTGTCTCAATAAGCAGGCACAAGGCACGGAGAGTCAGAAATGCCAGAAGCTCTGAAGCGCAGGGGTGTCCAAAGGAAAAGTAAGACTGCCAGCTGGTGGACTTGTTTTGATTTCACCATGAGCCATAGGAACTCTGCTGAGATGCTTGCTCATGGGTACCACTGTTGGTACACAATAAATACAAAGCACACACACTCGAGGGCAAGGAGGAGGCACGCCAGTGGAGTACTTATAAAAACCAACAATATGCACAGGCTATCCACCAAGGAAAAGCTCAGGATTGTAGGAAGACAAGTGGCATCTCGCCACCACATCCAGAGGAATGCTTCTGGGCCATACACAGACCAAACCACATGAGCAACCAGTGGTCCCTGTGGTGGAACGCTTCATCTTTAACCATTAAATCCAAGTGTCGAAAGGAGTGTTACAAAGCAAATCCAATCTCCTCCACCTCCCCATGCAGAGTCCCCTTCACAATAAGCCAGAGCAAACAGAAGGTTAACCAAGCGCTGCATGCAGTCCAAGCCAGTTCAGCTGTTCAGCACACACAACAAACAACATCTAGCCAACTACATGCAAGCTGAAAAGCAATGGAGGACAAGTGAACTGCAACAAGTTAGCATTAAAATTTATATTTTTGCATGTAAAACATATAGCACATGAGAACAAGTCACTGAGCAGCCTCAGTGCACAACATACCCACCCATTCCACACGCAGTATTATTGTAATCAATGCAATGTCTAATGGCATGAGACTTGATTAAATGCTCACAATGCTTATCTATGGTAAAGATTGCAGAATATCGAGGCATTCTTGACCTCTATCATATATATAGCCCTGAGTAATTGGCTGAAACGATGCAAGTGGAGCCTGATTCCATGATTATGAATCTCAAAATCGGACTGTAATTTTTAGCTTAAATATATCACATCGAGCAGCCTTTATGATTATCTATCTTAAATTACAAAGAGTTAAATGGAATAAGTGAATGCCCAGTTTGGCTCCAATCAAAACATAAGTTCAGTGCACTCTACATATTTTGTCTCTGAATTTAATGAAAATGTACCAAAATGAAAAAAAATTCAAGCCAACAGATATTGAATTTTGACTAAAACTTTCGTGACTGCAGGAATTCCTATTCGTTGGTTCTTTCGGTAAAGTCACGTAGATAGAAAAAATGTAATAAAAAGAAAGTGAAAAGAAATATTACAAATTTAAATTTAAACTTTAGCCTGGTTCTTAATTGGAGTGAGTGTACTGGCAGTCGATAATGTAGACTGTAGCCTGAAAAATAAAAAAATAACAAAAAGCCACGACGTTTTGATTGCAACACAAGCGGTCGTCATCAGCATTGATTCACTTTTTTATTATTTTTTTTCTATCTATGTGACTTTACCGAAAGAACCAAAGAATACCAACAGATATTGGTGTAACATGAGAAATTGTGGCTTCTCAGCTCTTCAATGTAAAGTGCTACATTGTGTTCTTCCCCAATGTACACAAACTGTGACTACAAAATAATGAAAACTGTTCAATGTTAAGCTTCTTGAATTTTTGCAAAAGTGAATTTATATAGTCAACGTATGATATCCCACCGATGTGAATTATATATATGAAGGTATGGTAAAAAAAGGAATGTTGTTAACAAAGAAGTATTTGATTTTACATTTGATGGACGACCAGGACAAAAGAAAAAAAAATTATAGATTAATCATGAGGTATTTCAAGAAAACATTTGCAATACACTGGGGTAAGGAAACTTTGGAAAATTAAGTCGGTGTAAATGTTTCCTAGCGTCTTCCTGCCAGGTTTTAGCCTGGTCTTCAAACACTGCTGTAATCCTAACACCTGTTGGAAAATGAAATTCTGAAAGTAAAACGAGCTTTATTTTTAAGAGAAAAAAAGTAACCTCCATACAAACTGGCATTTAAAAAATTGTCTTGGTTTTCTTACCTAAATAATTGATAGTAAGAAAGTAAAATATGATAATATAGATGCATGCAAAATACTGCTTAATTAAAATAAACGACCTTAATCCTTTGGATAACTTTAGGATGAACCCAGACAAAAAAGTATCCGGACTTTTACACAGATTGAAATTTGCCAATAAACTCCCAGTGTATTGCAAAGTATTGTTTCATTTTCTGCAGGTGTGCTGCTGACAGCATTACCATAAGCTTAGAAAATAATTGACGAGCCGATCCAAAGTCTGCCAGCTGGGATAAACAGAATAATTTTTGATAGCATTAACATTTGAAACATTTTCTCAAAATACTACAGTATGTAGGTTTTCATGCTTGCATTTTATAACTCTCTGATGTGTTTTCAAGTTGCACCGCGTGTTGTTCGGCATGACGCTTGAAGTTTTTGCACCACGTCCTGGGAACGTCTTCAGTGCTGGGAGCTTCTCCAGGAAGAAAGAGTTCCCAGCACGTGGAACAAAATGTCAAACATCATGCCAAACAAAACAAAGATCTCCCGTGTAGCCTTAACAGAGTGTTGGTGCAAGTGCTGTTAGTGAGCAGCTATGAAGGCCAGTACGGCACACGAGGGTGTGGGTGACCAGCACCGTGCACAGCCACCTTTTTCTCCCCAGTGGTGATGATTTTACACACTGCACCTGATACTCATTTGAGACGGAGTCAACCTTGGGGAGGCCCAGAAAAGGTTCAGATAATCGTCACTGGTGTTGGCCGTGAGCTGGAATCGAACTCGGGTCACCAGGTTCTTAACGCAGCGTGCTAACCGTGAACACTGCCGCTCTCCATGCCAAGCAACATGCTGTATGACCAAACAACACATCAGAGAGCTATATGTTCTCAGAAGTTTGAAAATGGCATGTCAAGTAATTTATTTTATAATTTATTAAGCAATGAATATTAAATGTGTGGGCAATTGAAATTGTGTTGTAATTAATAACTCTATGCTTTTTATTGTATGCATTTTCTATTCGCTCACCTAAAGTATCAACCTGGATTATTTATTCATGGGAATTATTCACTGTCATTTAAAAGTTGATGTTATTTCGTACTCCAATTGCTTATTGATAACATTGAATTCACAGCCAAATTTACTGTTCACCCCAGATTACCACGGTTGGCTACGTACGGTGCAAAATAAGTTCAACATTCATCATTCCAAAACATGTAAACATAAATCTGCGCTACTTAAAATAAACATGCACCTTCAGCAATTGTTTCTTGCTGTGGTTGTCCCACCTGATGACGTACGTTTGTGTTGCGCCCGAAACGTCGTGATTTAATTTATTTTATACCTACGTGACTTTACCGAAAGAACCAAAGAGTACGGATCCCTGCAGTCAAGAAAACTTCAAATCAAGAATGCACAGCGCTTTTAATGAAGTTCTTCTAACCAGTGAAACAATTTCCAACAAACTGAATGTTTTATTTTCTACA